TGGCACCATTCGTTAGACAGAGGATCCTGGATTGTATAAGAATCAAAAGTGAGCTGAGAACCAGAAGGCAATCATCAATTCACTGCTCTCAGCTCTTCTGCAAATGCAACACCTATAACTGCTTCATGTTCCCGCCACCCCAGCCGCCCCACAATGGACTGTAACCTGGATTGTGGGCCAGGTAAAGCCTTTCTCGAGTGGCTTTGGTCAGGGGATTTTACCACAACAACAGGAAAGGAAACTAAGACAGATATACATGCATGCAGTAATAACTAATGCTTACAAATGCTTGAAAATACAAAACAACAGACACCACCCCCGATACACGAAATGGAATTCTAAAACTGCTGAAGTAACCCACAGGAAGAAACAAAAATGAGAGAAACAACACAAACTAAAATCTTAAAACAATAGTCTTATGGGTTGGAGAGGTAGCTCAGTGGTTAAGAGCACTGAGTGCTCTTTGCAGAGGACCTGGGTTTGACTCCCAGCACCCACATGGTAGCTAACAACTATCCTAACTCCAATTCCAGAGGGATCCAACACTCTCTTCTGACCTCTGAGGGTACTGCATGATATGGGTGCACTTACACACATGCAGGCAATACACTCATACACATAAAGTAAAAATAATAAATAAAATCATTAAAAAAATGATAAGCTGGGGCAGGAGAGATGGCTTGGAGGTTAAGAACACTGAATGTTCTTGTAGAAGATCTGGGTTCAAATCCCAGCTCACATGGCAGCTAACAACTGTCCATAACTCCAGTTCCAGGGGACCCAACAGCCTCTTCTGGCCTCTGTGGGTATTGCACGACACAGGTGCACTCACCTACATGCAGGCAATACACGCATACACATAAAAATATAAAAATAATAAATGAAATATTTTTTTTAAAAAGCTGGTTCTAGGCCCAGAGGGTTTTTTTTTTAAGACAGCCTATATAAGTGCTAACAAGCCAATATTTTAAATTTAAACGGTCTATATCTATACCTATTAAGACATAAAGATAATATGACAGCACGGTTCAAAAACATGTTGCTCATGAGAAATTGACTTTGCATATGATAGTCTTGAAAAAGAATGATGAAAAAAGGTCCATCAAGATGGCTCAGTGGGAGAGCTCTTGATTAGCCTGCTTGGATCTATCTGGTCCCTACACTAAAAAATCAAAAGAGAGAACCTGATGCACAGATCAAGTAACTATACATACCCGATCAGAGCACAACCAAGCTACAGCAACAATATACACAGAATTAAATTTCAACTCAACAAAGGCAGGCCTGGGTTTCATATCAGACACACAAGCAACAAAAGAAATCCACATGCCCAGATGACAACCCAAAACACAAATAATATGAAAAACCAAAGTGTGTCCCCACCAAAGCCCACCACTCCTGTACAAGTGTTTTACAATGAGAACTACCTAGAGGAAACCCAGGACACAGAACTTAAAAGAATAATCATAAACATGATCAAAGAATTCAACAAATTTAAACAACACACAAAGAACTCATAGAGGACAGGAATAAACTCCTGACTGAAGGACGAGAAAATACAATATAGGGCTGAACGAAGTGACAAAGGCAATTCGGGATCTGAAAGTAGGTTCACCAGAGACAGAAATGTGAAGAAAACACAGGCTGACATGAAGATGGAATTGAAAAAATTAAGCCAATTTGAAAGGACAGGAAAAAGCTGGGTGTGGTGGTGCATGCTTTTAATCCTAGCACTCAGGAGGCAGAGGCAGGCAGATCTCTGAGTTCCAGGCCAGCTGGGAGCTACAGGGAGACCTGTCTCAAAAAGACCAAAAATAAATAAATAAATAAATAAATAACACAGGCTGACATGAAGATGGAATTGAAAAAATTAAGCCAATTTGAAAGGACAGGAAAAAGCTGGGTGTGGTGGTGCATGCTTTTAATCCTAGCACTCAGGAGGCAGAGGCAGGCAGATCTCTGAGTTCCAGGCCAGCTGGGAGCTACAGGGAGACCTGTCTCAAAAAGACCAAAAATAAATAAATAAATAAATAAATAAATGGACAGGAAAAAGCTTCACCAACAGAATTAATGAAATGGAAATCAGACTGGATGGTAAAGTTGAAGAATTGGATCACTTCAGCCAAAAAATGTGAAAAATTTTAAGAAACACAGGAATGGCACAAGCAGGAAATGTGGAACACCAGGAAAAGACCAAATTTGTGCGTCATAGGTATAGGAGGAGGAGAAACATCTCAGGTCAATGGCAATCCTCTTCAAGAGGATTATAGCAGAAACTTTATCTCTAAATTAAGGAAAGACATACAATACAGATACAAACAGCACACAGAATACCAAATAGACAGGAAATGGAAAGACCTCTTATGCTCATGGATTGAAAGATCAATATAGAAAAAATGACCATCCTACCAAAAGCAATGCACAGATTCAATGCAAACCCAATCAAAATTCCCATGGCATTCTTCACAGGAATAAAAAAAAAAATCATCCCAAAATTCATATGGAAACACAAAAGACCCCAGATAGCCAAAGCGCAATCCTGAGCACAGACAGCAATGCCGGGGGAATTACCATACAAGACTGCAATCTGTATTACAGTGCTATAGCCATAAAACAGCATGGTATTGGCACAAAAACAGACTTGTAGATCAATGGAACAAACAGTGCATGCAATTACAGCCACCTGGTATTTGACAAAGAACATATACTGTAGGAAAGAGCATCTTCTACAGATGGTGCTGGCAAAATTGGGTCCTTATGTGCAGAAGAATGAAATTAGACTCATACCCATCACCCAGCACAAAAGTCAACTCCAAATGTATCAAAGCTGTCAATATGAACCCTGAAACACTGAAATGATTAGAAAACATAGGGAATATCCTAAAAATTATAGGTGCAGGAAAGGATTTCCTAAATTGGATATCAACGCCTCAGGAATTAAGGTCAACAATTGGCAAATGGGACGTCATTAAACTAAAAAAGTTTCCATACAGCAAAAGGAAGAACCAAAAGGAAAAGGAAGCCCACAGGGTGGGAGAAAATCTTCACCAGCTATACATCTGGCAGAGGATTAATATCCAGAATACATCAAGAACTCAAAAAACAAAGAAGACAAATAACCCAATTAAAAAATGGGTTATGGGGGGCTGCAGAGATGGTTCGCTGGTTAAGAGCACTGTCTGTTCTTGCAGATGATCCAGGGACAAATCCCAACATCCACACGGCTGCTAACAACGAACCACAACTCCAGTTCCAGGGGATCTGATGCCCTTTTCTGACCTCCGAGGGCATTGCATGACATGGGTGCAACAGACATAAATGCAAATAATACACTCATACACGTAAAATACCAAAAAAGGGCTATGGATCTGAACAGAGAGCTCTCAAAAGAAATAAAAATGGTTAAGAAACAGTTTAAAAGTGTTCAACATCCTTAGTAATTAGGGAAATGAAAACCCAAATTAACACTTCATCTAACCCCAGTCAGACTGGCTAAGATCAAGAGAACAAATGACACCAAACGCTGGCGAGGATGTGGGGAAATGGGAACCCTCATCCACTGTTGGTGGAACTGCAAACTAGTGCAAACCACTGTGGCAATCAGAGAACTCTTTTTACCACTCCTTGGCATATACCCAAGGAACTCATTCTACTGAGAGACACATAGCCATATTTGTTGCTGCTCTTTTCACAACAGCTAGGAAATAGAAACAATCTAAACTGTCCCCCTAACTGATGAGTGGATGATGAAAATGTGGCACATTTACACAATGGAGTTCTACTCAGGGTAAAGGAAAATGAAATGGTGCAATTTGCAGGTAAATGGATAGAACTAGAAACTGTTAGATACTAAGTAAAGTAACAGACTCATAAAAACAAGTAACATATGTTCTCTCTCATTTGTGAATCTTAGCTAGCTCCAAATTCTTAGATGTGGCTATATATCCTGATGTAACTGCAGGAGCCAGGAAAATGGCAAAGAATCACAGGGGTTAAGAGGAAAAAGGAGACTGAATGAGGGGATCCTAGGAGACAAGTGTTATCAAGGGGGAAATGGGGAAAAGGATTGCCACTTTAACTGGAGACGGAGTAGAGAGGGTTATACAGCAGAGGGAAGATAAACAATGCTTACATGATGTGAAAAGCCAGAGGGAAACAATATTAATTCAAAGACTTACTGAAAAATACACATACAATATATACAATTCATCTGTATAGCTGAAGTCTATATAACAAAATACATAGTGCTAGGCAGGAGAAACCTCCCTTCGAGTTGTTGTTGATCAGAGTAGTCCAAGACACTCCCCAAAATAACACAGGCTATCACTATAGGCCCTGAATGCCTCCCAAAATTTGAAGGGAAGACCCCATTGATGAAGACAAAATCCCAGCATAGATAAGGGGAAGTGGGTAAGAAATCCCAACCTAACCTAAGGAACTTTTGGCAACTGATGGTGCTGGCGGGGGGAGAGGCAGTGTCTTACAAGGATGGGACTCTTGATATGTTAACCAGGCTCCAGTGGATGAACCTATACTGATGGATACATTGGAAACAAACCCGACTCTACAAGCTGTATTACATATAATAGCGTACATTAAATTGGGCGGAGGGCAGTAAGGGAGATAAGGATAGGGGAGGGGAATTTAAATACCATTAAATTATATTGTATGGTAATTGCAATAATTCAATAAAAATAAAGTGCCCACTTGTTTGTATTTTCTAGGGTTGTAGTTCAGTGGTATCTTAGCATGGTCAAAGCCCTGGGCTTATATCCAAACACACACACACACACTTCCTATCTCCTAAAAGTATTTCACAATGTTTCATATTGTTCATAAAAACTGATGCTCTACTATAGACACATGTGGAACAAGGATAACGTTCTGTAAGTTTCTATATTTGCCCTCTATTTTTTTTTTTTTGTCTTTTTGAGACAGGGTCTCCCTGTAGACCCAGCTGGCCTGGATTCACTATGGAGACCAGACTGGCCTCAAACTCACAGAGATCCGCCTGCTTCTGCCTCCCGAGTGCTGGGATTAAAGGCGTGTGCTACCATGCCTGGTTGTCCTCAATTTTTTAACACTGGACAGCAATGAATGTATATACAAGACATATAAAGGGTCAAGGTCCTTTACCTACTAAACCAAAATCCTTTCCACTCAAAGAAGAAATCCATAAGCAAGTACCAAAGACTTGGCAGGGTGGTATGAAAGCAGAGCTTGGGTTTTTCTATGTCCATGTCACCTTCTGTTTATAAAAATTCCTGAGATAACACTGCACTGTAAAACTAGGAGAGATATAGTTGAAGGTTTTCATTAGTGCAAAATAACCTCTGGATCGCTCTCCTGTATTCTCCAACAGAGAACATGCTCAATTTCTAACACAAGTTTTCAGATGACGAGTAACACTCTGCAACAGGTTTTCTCAGTGACGACACCTGTGGGGTTTCTCTTTGGTATGAATTATCAGATACCATATAAGACGCTTCTGCCTGTAAAACGCTGTCCTCAGTGGTTACTTTCAAAAAGTCATTCCCTAGTAGAAGTTCTTGGATGTTGACAGATGTTCGCCCACTTGTGAAGGCTCTTCCCTTGTCTGTTTCACTGGTGGGGTTTCTCCCACTGTGCATCCTTTGATGCTGAGTGAGGGATGAGCTGCGGCTGAAGGTCTTTCCACATTCACCACATTCATACGGCTTCTCCCCAGTGTGGATGATGGAATGCCGAATGAGGTTTGTGCTCCAACAGAAAGTTTTCCCACACTCATCACATTCATAGGGTTTCTCTCCACTATGAGTCCGCTGGTGCCTTGTAAGTCCTGACCTTCGGTTAAAGGCCTTCCCACACTCTGTACACTCATAGGGCTTCTCTCCTGTGTGGATGCTGAAGTGGCGAATGAGGTCTTTCCGATTGGTAAAGGCTTTCCCACATTCTTTGCACTCAAAGGGTTTTTCTCCAGTATGGGCCCTTTTATGCAAGATGAAAGTAGAGCAGTGGGTAAAGGCTTTCCCACACTCACTGCAAACAAAAGGCTTCTCCCCGGTGTGAATGCGCTGGTGTCTCTTGAGGTACGACCTGTGGTTGAAAGCTTTCCCACAGTCGAGGCACTCAAAGGGCTTCTCGCCAGTGTGGATGACATAGTGGTGGATCAGGGCAGCGCTCTCACAAAATGCTTTCCCACATTCATTGCATTCATAGGGCTTCTCCCCAGTGTGAGTCTGCTGGTGCCACATGAGGTATGACCTGTGTTTGAAGACCTTGCCACACTCAAAGCACTCATAGGGATTCTCCCCACTGTGGATGATGTAGTGTCGAATGAAACCTGGTCTGTCTCGAAAAGCTTTTCCACATTCTTTGCACACAAAAGGTTTTTCACCAGTGTGGCTTCTGTTATGCAAGACGAAAGTAGAGCGGTGGGTGAACGCTTTTCCACACTCACTGCATTTATAAGGCTTCTCCCCACTGTGGATCCGCTGGTGCTGTGTAAGGTGGGATTTGCGGTTGAAGGCCTTCCCACACTCCAGGCACTTATAGGGCTTCTCCCCACTATGGACCATATGATGCTGAAGAAGGTACGTGCTCTTGCTGAAGGTCTTCCCACACTCTGTGCATTCATAGGGCTTCACTCCAGAGTGAATCCTCTCATGTCGAGCAAGGAGGCGCTTCTTGTTAAACACTTTCCCACATTCATTGCATTTAAAGATATTTTCTTCCTCTTGAATCACTGGATCTTTACTTGACCCATGTGAGTCAGGGCCATGAACAGCTCCTGAAGAGATGTGCTTCTGTACAACCCTTGAACATACATCCTCAGCTGTTCCTGAACTACCATGTCCAGGGCTCATTTTCCCAGGAAGCGTTTCACTTTGAAATTCTATTCCTGCTTGCAAGATTCCTTGGTGCATTTCTGAGGAACCAATTCGACACTGAGCTTGCACCAACTGCAAATTCCCTGAGGCTTCTTGTATTAACTCTCCCTGGAGTGAGCTTTCTGCTGGGTCACATGTGCTAAGTTCTATAGCCTTGGTTTTTCCACTGTTACCTGAAACAAGTAAGACGACAGGGCGTGTGAGCAATGAAAACATAAGAAATAAAAACACCTGCTTAATGAAAACATGAAACTAGAGCACCAAGATGTTTGTTAACCTTGGTCTGAGATTTCTTTCTTTGGGGATTCTTAAGTTCTAGTTTTGTTTGTTTTTGAGACAGGGACTCACTAGGCAGCCCTAAACTCGCTATTGGGCTGGCCTTGAACTCACAGAGATCCATCTGGCTCTGCCTTCCAAGTGCTGGGGTCAAAGGCATGCATCACCACATCAGCTGGTTCTTGAGTTCTTTATTTTGAAGGGGAGACCAAATGAAAGGCTGGGACAGAGGGTTTAGAGCAGAGATATCTCCTCAACTCTAGAGTTAGTATTTCCACAAAGGTAACTCATTATTTGTCTCTAAATAGTGGTATATTGTGCATTGGGAGACAAAGATAAGATCATGAGGTTGAGATTAGCTTAGGCTACACAATAAGCTTGAGGCCACCTGAGACATATCTCAAAAACTAACAAAAACTAGGGCCAGTGAAATGGCTCAGCAGGTAAAGGTGACTGCCACCAATCCTGACGAGCTGAGTCTGAGCCCCATGACCCACATGGTGGAAGGAAAAACTGACTCTTGCAAATTGTCCTCTGCGCTTCATACATGTGTGGTGGCTTGCACACATACACACAAAATTTAAAAAAAAGAAAAAAAAAGAAACTGAATTTTTGTTAACTTATTTTATGTGTGAGTGTATTGCTTGCATTTGTGTAAGGGTACCCATGTCATACAACGCCCACGGAGGTCAGTAGAGGGAGTTGGATTCCCCTGGAACTGGAGTTACGGGAAGCTGTTAGCTCTCATGTGGGTGATAGTAATTGAACCCAAGTCCTCTGCAAGAGCAGCCAGTGCTCTTAACTGCGGAACCATCTCTCCAGTCCCTAAAAAAAATTTTTTAGTGATTTATTTATTTTTATTTGTACAAGTATTTTGATGGCTAGTATGTTTACTGGTATGTGTGTGGTGTCTTCAAAGGCTGGAAGAGGGTGACAGAGCCCCAGAATGGGTGCTGGGAGTTGAACCCGGGCGCTGTGGAAAAACAGAAAGTGCTCTTAACTCCTGAGCCACTGTTCTAGCCCCTAAAAAAATATTATTGTAGTATATATAACTGATAAAAGTACTAGAATGTGCCAGGTGTGGGTCCAAGCCTTTAATTCTAGCACTCAGGAGGCAGGCAGATCTCTGTGAGTTTGAGGCCAGCCTGGTCTACACAGTAAGTTCCAGACCAGCTGGGGCCGCAGGGAGACTGTCTCAAAAAGATGACAAAAAGAAAAAAAAAAAAAAAAAAAAAAAAAAGAAAAAAAAAAAAAACCAAAAAAACCCCCCCCCCCCCCCAAAAAAAAAACCATGAAGGAACCAAAAAAAAAAAAAAAAAAACACCCTTGGAACTCACTATGTACACCAGGCTGGCCTCAAACTCACAAAGATCTGCCTGCCTCTGCCTCCCAAGTGCTGGGATTAAAGGCATCTGCCACCACGCCCAGCTACAAGTTAATTTTTTTTAAAAAAAGCATTTATCTGAAATGACATTTCATAGAAGAAACTAGAGTGGCCAAAAATCTTATGATGAGCCACTAAACTTTCTCACCAATGAGGGAAAAAAAGAAAATTAAGAGCACAAGAAACACACATCTGATTAGCAAAAACAGAAGAGTGCCTTATTGTATCAAGTACTAGACAAGATCTGAATCAAAGCAGAAGACACCTATAAGGGACTGCTTTTCAGTGTCCTCCTGTCACTCAGGATGAGCAAAAAAGGCAGGACAGGGTAGAGGGCAGAACATAACTACACTCCAGAAGGAAATCTGAGACATTTTATGCATTGTGACTTATGGGACATGAACGATGAAGCTTTTTTTAAAAAAAATTTTATTTGGGGCTGGAGAGATGGCTCAGCAGTTAAGAGCACTGGCTGCTTTTGCAGGAGACCTGAGTTCAAATCTCAGCACCTACACGGTGGCTAACAATGGTCTGTAACTCCAGTTCCATGGGATCTGATGCCCTCTTCTGACCTCCATGGGGCATTGTATGACTTGGGTACACTCACATACATGCAAGCAATACACTTGTACACATAAAATAAAAAATAAATGAAGTTAAAAAATTTATTTATTTATTTATGTGTGTGTGTGTGTGTGTGTGTGTGTGTGTGTGTGTGTGTGCATAAGTGTTTGGCCTGTATGTAAGCACACCTATGAATTCAATAACCAGAGGCTAGAAGTGGTCGTTAGATCTCCTGGAACTGGAGTTATGGATGGGTGTTAGCCCATGTGGGTGCTGGGAACAGAACCCAGGTGCTCTGTAATAGCAGCCAGTGCTCTTCATCACTGAGCCATCTCTCCAGGCTCAAAGCTTACTTCTGATGTGTCACTCTCCGAGGGTCAGATACTGCTCCTCATGCATTAAGGCATTATTTAATTATATCCTCCCCACAGAACCCAATGACAGAGAGACTATTATTGCTATCAACTTTCTGGAATAAACTTAGTGGACTGAGTAGATGTTCACCAAACCATTGGATCATCTCTTCCGACATGTAACTCAATATCATATATCCCAGCCCCACGAACACAAGGGTGGCCAAATACCTAGCCCTTGTGGGTGAAATGTGAGAGAAACTGGGTGTTTCTGGAAGTAGATGTGAGGTCCCCTTTTCTCTCAATCTTGTACCAGCTGGTGGATGGCAGGATAAACTTAAAGCGACAGGCTAATGATATATGGTCTGTGGGGTCCCTGAATGATGCATACCATCATCCTGGTTAATGCATAGACTCAGATATGAGTGAGGAAACTAGTTCTCATGACTGGGGCCACTGAGATTTTGGAGGGTGACACAGCAACTACTGTTAACTAAGTTAAACTTATTTACAAGGTCAAAAGATATCCAAGGGGCCACAGAGATGGCTCCATGGTTAAGAGCATTTACTGCTCTTCCAGAGGACCTGGGTTTGGCTTCTAGCACCCATGTGGTGGCTCACAACTGTCTGTAACTCCAGTTCCAGGGGATCTGATGGCCTCTTATGGCCTCCAAGGGCACCACGAAAGCATGTGGTGCACTTACATACGTGCAGTTAAAACACTCATATACATAAAATAAAAATAAATAAAATCGGGGCTGGAGAGATGGCTCAGCGGTTAAGAACACTGGTTGTTCTTGCAGAAGACCCAAGTTCGAATCCCAGCACCCACATGGCAGCTAACAACTGTCCTTAACTCCAGTTCCAGGGGATCTGATGGCCTCTTCTGTCCTCCGTGGGCACCCACATGGCAGCTAACAACTGTCCGTAACTCCAGTTCCAGGGGATCCGATGGCCTCTTCTGTCCTCTGTAGACATTGCACAACACGGGTGCATTTACCTTACATGTAGGCAATACATGCATACACATAAAAAAAAAAAAAATTCTAGGCCAGGCGTGGTTTCACACGCCTTTAACTGGGGAGGGAGGCAGGTGGATCTCTGAGTTCAAGGCCAGCCTAATCTACCAACAAGTTTAAGGTCAGCCAGGGCTACATAATGAGTCTCTCTCTATTTGTCTGTCTGTCTGTCTCTCAGAGATTCCAGAGCCAGTACTCTCTCCACTGAGTCTTAAGGCTTCAGGGTCGCCCACCAGCCCTAATCAGTGTTCTTACCTGCATAGGTGTTTGGGGAATGGTCTTTCATCACTATCCACAGCTCTTGCCCATGCTCCAACTGGCAGATCAACTCAGGTTTAGGAACAGGGTACCCTTTAGGGAGAAAAATGTGGACATATGGATTTTTCTGAGAAGTGATACAGACCTTCAGTCTCACCTGGGATTTCAGGATGGGGACTGCTTTGGAATGAAGTTGCTCTAAGCAACACAAAGATATGTGGCCAGGTGTGGTGGCGCATACTTTGACCGCAGCACTTGGGAGGCAGAGGCAGCCGGATCTCTGTGAGTTCGAGGCCAGCCTGGTCTACATAGCGAGTTCCAGGCCAGCTGGGGTACAGGGAAATCCTGTCTCAAAAAAGACAAAAAACAAACAACAAAAAAAGTTATGTGACTGGGAAACTTCCAGAACTTCTACTCCAAACAGTACAGCAGAAAGTAATATTAAATGCACCTGATAGGACAAGACTATAATTCCGGCAACTCACAAGCCTGAGGCAGGAGGACAGCCAGTTCAATGCCTGCCTGAAACTAAGCAAGAGTTTCAAAATAAAGAGGACTGAGGGTACAGTTCTATACATGACTACTTTCACTCAAACAGGTTTGAGTATTAACCCATTTTCTTCTGTTATAACCAAATGCTTACAGTTGGGGTAATATATTAAGAAAGGGCGGGAAAAACACCATCTAATACTTAGTATATCTAGGGCATCTAGAATAAGCAATTTAAATGCATTAAGTCATTTCAAAATTGAAAAATATTTACAGGAAAATTTTAGGGGTAAAACTGGTGTATTTAAAATATGCTTTCTCTTTTTTGGGGGGGCGTCTTTTTTGAGACAGGGTCTCCTTGTAGCCCCAGCTGTGCTGGAACTCACAAAGATCTGCTTGCCTCTGCCTCCACCTCCCAAGTGCTGGGACTAAAGGTGTGCACCAAGTGCTGGGATTAAAGGCGTGCGCCACCACGCCCGGCCACAATTTCTTTTTTTAAAAAAAGATTTATTTGCTCTTGGGGTAAGTCTATAGCGCAGCTCTCCGTGCCGGGCGGGACTCCCTAAGCGACATTCACCCTTCCATCCCCCGCCTCGCCGTTCTATACTCCTAGTTTGGGCCCT